GAAAAGTATCATGCATACAATAGACTTCGGACTAGGTGCGTTCCTCTAATTCTTCCTACCAATATGAGCAATTTGGGAAAACAAGGTCAAACTGTTTCTATACAACGAAAGGAGACTTCGACTACAAAAAAGGCCACATCTTCGTGGTCTTCATACCCTCGATTAAAGAAGGAAAACTAGTTGGAGTACCATTCATTTCGTGTGAAGAGACGAGTGGAAGGGATTTGTAAGTCGGTTCCACTGGAGGCTGTGGGTGGGTTGCTTTGGAGCTGTGGTTGTAGATTTGTGCGAATAGGTCCTCGACGCACCGCCCTGCGACCGCAATGTATCACTGCTGAGCTTTCGTCCATCATGTGACGGACATCGTCGGAGCAGGACACCATGGCTTGCGCTTATTTATTAAAAACACGAAGGTAACAAAGGTGGCCGGCTTCAAGGCGACTTCCTTCTTATATTCCAATTTGGTCCACTTATGCATCTCATGTTTTGGTTGGATGCCCTATGCTTTGTCTTTGTATTTGCTCATAAATTAAGTGGCTGCGGATGGCTTAAAAAAGATGAATAGCAGATTATCAAATACAGCGAAGAATTTATACGAATTTTGCCAAAGAATCAAATGCACCGGTTAAGAAGAAGGTGAATAATTGGTGAGCTTGGATGTATAGTCCATGCAAACGAATATTTCAGGGTAAGAAGCGCTCACAGCACTGCTGGAGATCTTAGAAAAAGAAGACGAAACCAGATTAATCGACATAACAATGAGAAGAATCTATTTAATGTTCATCATCCACATCTATGAACAAATATTTGGTCAATATGATACGTATTAACCATATTTCATTAAGGTGATGAAGGACTGGTAGTTAAATTTTCCCACAATCATATTATTAGAACTTATTTTTTTATTGAAATTCACATAGCCTTGCTTTCCCAAAAGCTATTATCATCCCCGTAAGAGTGCACTATCATTTTGACCTCGCCTAGATCCCATTAGCATACCTAGCGGGACTCAAACTCTGGTAGTGCAGCGTATAATCTCGACACGTTAACCAAAAATCACGATTTCCAATAAATAGGCAAATGACTTGTCCTTCGTGAAATTCATATCTGCTCTGTGGCTTCTGATAATCATCCTCCTCATTATCCAAATCTTCAGTCTGTAAGTGTAAGGAGACTAGAAATGGAGTAGTATATGAGATGAAAATTTTCCTCTTGAATGTCACATTCAAGCAAATAACTTCAACATCGAAGAAAAGCAACCTCTTCTCTTACTCTACTTCCATTAGTAAATTGATCCTTTCATCAATCTAGTAAATAAACTTAAAAAAATCGCAAAATTTTTGTCTTCCATGCGAACAAAGTATGGATCGCACTAAAACTCTCGGTTGTTGGGTTGACGTCTTGAACTCTAAAATAAGTTGTTCATGTATGCGTTTGCCAAGAGGTGAAATAGGTGATCTAATAGGGAGTCAAAATATGTGTTAATCGAGGTAACCTTTAAATGTAAGTAGATAATCTTTATTTTCAGCAACTCTCTTCATAAATTTACCCAGGCAGCATGAGAGGACAAACAAATAGTTTTCTCATGAATTTACTGTATAGCATGCGACGTCTGGATACAGAAATATATTGGCGAAAGAGGAAAAATAATCAGCATACGAATTAAGTAAGATCGAAGGCTGCAGGAAAATGTATAACGAAAGATCAGAAATAGCAGAATATATCGCTCAGACTGGACACGAGATCAATTAGAAGGCAACGGAAAGAAGGGCCTCATACTACAATAACGCAATAAAATAGAATAGTGCAGGCCATTGACATGCTTTGGGAAAGAAATGTGATGGAAAGGATATTGGAAAAAAGCCGAGTTAATGATAACGCTGACAAATACTTAAGAAAAGCCAGAGTAACGAGAATACGACAAGACCAACAGAAAGGAGATGTCTGGATCAAGGACCTATCATTAACCAGAGGAAAAGTGATCACAAGAAGTGGGTGAGTAACATTCGGAAATCATGCGAGGACGTCTTCAGTGAGCGTTGTCTGCTCGAAGAAATAACTACAGCTTTGAGGGCCAAAGTGACTAGAAATCCACTCGAGGTACAGCAGACGAGTAGAGCTAGACGTTCACGGTTTGTTCAGTATACACGGACTAAATAACATAAATGGGTAGTGGAAAGAATGCCTAAAATATACAAGCATGGGGATCAGAAGCTATGGAGCTCTGTTGGATGAGGCCCCAGAATACCCGAATACAGAATACCATATGCTTGCGGCAGACCATAAGAAATAGCGCCTGGAGTAAAATATATAGTGGGAATGGAATCGAGTGAAACCAAGCAACCAGGGATGATAAGAAACGAATCTCCAGGGCTATAATGGAGATTGTAATAAGAGGTCTGAGTCGGATGAGCAATTCGGGCAAATCGAGGGGGGAAGGGGCAAGACAAACAAGCTGATAAGACACGCCCCACAACAATCGTCAGAAAAGTCACAGCTTTTGAGGAGTCAAATAAAAACAAGGCATTAAATTCACGATGGAGGGGGCGGAGAATAAACGCCTACCCTTTTTGGATATTTAAGTCGTGCTGCAACGGGACGCTCATGAGGAGACTATATAGAAAGAATTCATATGCAGGAATTATCCTTATTTTCAGTCTCACCATAACGACAGTCTGAAGATCGGCATAACCGAAGAACTTACTATGCTGTCAAATCACAAAATAATCATCCATATATATCTAACAAATAATTTAATAATCGGAATTACCCGTAAGTTTTGATGTAGTGTTCAAGCGCACTAATATTCCATTAAGTATGGTAAGAGACTTCAGAGAGGAATACATTGAATTAGCACTTAGTACAATAACAAGAAAGTAGTTAAGTAAAGTGTCAATCACAAGAAGAGATAGATGAACTTAGTATATAGTACTTAATTTACTATTGATAGCTAATTGTATTTATTGCGGGATCGTATTTCAGCGAATATTCCTCATTTACAGGTTTAAGTATTTCCTGGAATTTGGTTTTATAGCAAGATGGCTATTTTATTATTACGAGATACTACAAAGGAAGTTTTGAGGAATTCGTTGGGTTAACAAATTCCATATATGGAAGGACTCAGCTCCCCACGGAGTTAGAAAATAATGGTAATTTAACCTTTTTGGTTGTTCTAGTTATCAAAAAGGAAGTAAGCTAAGCAGAGATAAGTAAGAAACTCACAAATGCGGAGTTGCTTCATAAGTAATTTTTAGACCGTTCTTAAGAGGTTAAAGTAGAAGTTAAGAAACGAGTGATAATAAAAAATTTGCGTCTAGTAACCGGCATAAATTAATGGAATACTAATAGCAACCTTAGTTCAGAACATTATGATTAAGTGCTAGCAATTTAGGACAAAACGGGAAATTATACAACTCTTATAGGTTCATAATGTGACTGCCATATCAACTTTGTAGAAGGATTGACCAGACATTAGGATTATGTATATATTGAAATAAACACTTTATTCAGAAATGCATTCTTTCGAAAATTTTGAGATTCATTATCTGGGTTAGATCGTCATGAGGCCTAAGGGTATCATAGGGGTATGCATAAGAGGTTACTTGATCAAAAGAAACGTCCGAAAAGGATTGTGAAACAAGATGTCAGAAATAACTAAACAGATGCCGATAAGGTACGCTAAATAGTTGTATAAAAGTCAACGTCTTGCAGAATAGAGCTTACACAGCTAAGCGGAAAATAAAACGTAAAAATAAATATAAAAAATCGGGTGAGGAAACATGAATAGTTTGGAGCTTGGCTTAAGCTCTAACATTGCAAATGACTAATGCAAACTGCATGCACACTGCACCAAAATACGCTCTAACATTCCAGTATCATAGTCTAGTAGGCTTATGAACCACATTCATATTCACTAAACTGATCGATTTTGCTCATGTGCAGGTATGTGGTGACAAACAAATTATGGGATTTGCTATTAAGATAGCGAAATTAGGATAAAAGAAATAGGATTGCGGGTGGTAATTATTCAGGATTTAGCAAGGGAATATCTATAGAAATGGATTTAACAACCGGTAGAATCATAATATATATATTATATTGTAGAGTTTATTGAGAGTCGAAACTTTTGTAATGCCAAGCTAGCCAGACCTGTTAATTTCTAGACTACATCTGCAATAGCATTTGCTATTTTATGGGTTTAATTACTGACATACATGCAAAAAATGGTCTATAAAAGATCATTAGGGGGACAATGGTAGTGATTAGCATAAAGATTATGACATCTGATTCATTTACAGTCTCCTGGGTGTAAATAACAAGAGGGGCTGAAAAAGAGAAAGTAACGGTAAACAAGTGGAGACGGAAGATTGGATGACAGGTAGATACCTGAAAGTAGATTGCTTGACAACCCATTGCTGCCGGGAGAACGATTAGCGGGCTTAAAGTTGAACCTAGGTCCAGTTGTTTCACTGCCAAGGAAAGAGCTATCAGCCGATAAGAGTCCCCCAGAAGACCCAAGAGAAGGGAGTTTGTGCACCAGCACGAATCGAGTACCAGAAACCTCATCAGTCTCTTCTTTGCTCATCCCTGAACCAGAAATTAAGATGATAGTAGATAAAAAAAGGAGTTTCATATATATGCATTTATTCTAGTGTGATTGCTTGCTAATAGAAAACCATCTAAATGAAAGAGGTGTGAAATGTAGTGCGAAGGCATTTA